TCTCTCTCTCTCTCTCTCTCTCTCTCTCTCTCTCTCTCTCTCTCTCCTTCCCTCCCTCCTTCTCCACTCCACTCAACTGAAGGAAAGCAGAAACTTTTACTCTACTCTGTCCTGTAGTGTGAACTAAACATGCCTCTGAGACATGGATATGGGTAGACAGTAGGCACACAGTAGGACAGGAAGAGCTGCTACTTCAGGAGGTGGTGGAGACCTAGGCTCAGTACTCAGCCTGACAACTCAGTCCACAGTGATAGAAACACTGACCAAAGCAATTTATAGAAGGAAGAGTTTATTTGGGCTTACAGTTACAGGGGAATTACAGTCCATCATGGCAGGGAGGCATGGTGGCAGAAGTGGCTGGAGGGGGCTGGAGCAGGAGCAGCAGAAGCTAAGCTCTCACATCATCACACAGGCACAGGAAGCAAGAGAGCAACTGGAGATCTGGTAAGGCTTAAGAACTCTCTAAGCCCACCCCCAGTGACGTGTTTCCTCTAGGATAGCCACCCCGTCTAAAACCTCCCAAAACAGCACCATCATATGGAGACAAAATGTCCAAACACTTGGAGCTTATGGGGGCATTTTCATTCAAACCACCACAACCACGATTCTCTGAAATTGTGGCTTAGTGGGTAAAGTAGTTGCTGTGCAACTGCAAGGAGTGGAGTTCAAATCCCCAGCACTCACACAAATGCAGGGCAGGAGTGTTGGCCTGACTAGGATTCCAGCACGCAGGAGGCAGGCAGAGACCAGGAGTTCTTGGTGGGAGTGGCTAGCTGGACTAGCTGAATCAGTGAGCTCTGGGTTCAGCAGGAGACTCTGCCTCAGTAGACAAGGTGGATACAATAAGGAAAGACACCCAATGTCAATCTGTGCTCTACACATGCCTACATGTGTCCACACACATGCATACACACATGCATACCACACACACACACAGAACCAAGCTGCCTATAAAACACAGGTTTGGGGACAATAGAGATGACTCAGTGGTTAAAAGCACTGGCTGCTTTTGTAGAGGACCCAGGTTCGGTTCTCAGCACCCACATGGCAGCTAACAACCACCCATCACTCCTGTTCCAGGGAATCCAAGGCCCTCCTCTTCTTCCATGGGAATTGCACGACACATGTGTACTTTTAAACATGCAAGCAAAACACTCATA